AGCGCTGAGGGCGTCGCTCCGCGGCGTGCCAGGACACAAACCTTTACAGGCTCTCTGCTCACTTTCCTGGCCTTCATCTCGCCCGGAGGGGAGCGTGCGTTCGCTCTCAGTACACAACTTCACTGCGCTGCAGGAGGTGCGGTCTATTTCCTGAACAAAGTATTTGACCTAATATTAGTATCTGTACCAGTTACAGTGAAATACACATTAAAGTAAAATAGAATCAGTCAGTAGTAAGAAGTACTAGAACTACAAGTAAAAGAAGTTAATTAACTGTATTATTAATAATAGTAAAATCAGGATTAAGTCGTAGCAGTAGTACTAGTAGTACTCGTAGTATTAGCTGGGGTAAGGGTTAGGGTTAGTTTTAATACCAGTGATAGTAAACACAATAGCAGTAGTACTAATAGTAATATTCTGGAATTGGTACCAGTACTAGTATCAGTGCAGTAGCAGTGACATCTATAAATGCACGTCTTGGTACTTGAAAGGTGTAATAATAGTAGTATCTGTACTAGAAGTAACTGAAACAGTAGTATTAGTACTTCTAGTAGAAGTATTGTACTTGTATCATCTATTTACTGGGAGTAGGGTTAGTACTAGTAGAAGTAGTTGTAGTAGCATGAGAGGTAGTAGAAGTGGTGGGGTCAGTACAAGTACTAAGAGTATTCGTAGTAGTAGAAGCAGTGGTAATAGAGTCAGTACAAGTAGTACGTGGAATAGTATTAGTACAAGTAGTAGTTGTAGCAGAAGTACAGCACGTTACTTGAATTAGTACTAGCAGTAGATGTAGTAAGCAGCAGCAGTATTAGTACAAGTAGTAGTAGCAGTAGTAATAGAAGTAGTTGACCTGTTTGTTGCAGTACTAGTAGTAATTACTTATTAGCGCTGCAGTAACAGTAACAGTAGTAGTGGTAGTACAACAAGTAGTACTACTAGTACTAGAAGTGTATTACAGACTGTGAATAAGTGAATTGTACAGATGTAGTATTGCAGTACTCTGTGTTTTCATTGGTTCAGTCAGTTTAATTGGTTTTAATCGAGGAAACTGAAAACAACACTCTCTCTCTCTCTCTCTCTCTCTCTCTCTATTTCTCTCTCTCTCTTTCTCTCTGTCTCTCTCTCTCTCTGTTTCTCTCTCTCTCTCTCTCTCTCTCTCTGTTTCTCTCTCTCTTTCTCTCTGCTGTGATGCAGTGAGAGTCATATTGGGGAAACACTTGTGCCGGATTTCGCAGTAGATGAGCCAGAAACACACACACACACACACACACGCGCACACACACACACACACACACACACACACACACACACACACACACACACACACACAGAGGGCTTCCTGCTACGTACTTCCCTGTGTTGGAAACCATTTGCATGCCCTGTCACATCGCTGCGTGTTGTAGAATAGTGAATCTGGATCCATCATTTGCATACAGGCCTGTTTCACTGACGCACTCGACTCCACGGACTCGCACACGACCAAAACTGCCGGTACAGTTATCACTCAGTGATCACCACCCCACACTGATACGTCACGTTCACAATATGATGCAGACGCCTTTGAAACCCAAAATCAAAATGTTTCAATGAGCGAGAAAACAGGAGGTTCTGGTCACTGTCACGTTTATCAGATGTTGGGAATGTTTTTTATTTCTTCTTTGATTTTGAAAAGCTAACGTCCTTTATGTTGCTCTGAGAAACTTCAACAGACAGATAACTGCCGCACGCTCAAAACTACAGGTGTACTCCTTATACACAGACAATATATACATATGTTCACATTTTATTTAGACAAATGCACAGAGTTCAAATAGAACAATATAAATATAAACACACGGAGAAGATATATAAATCAGATGAAGAGACAGACAATGTACACTTATTAACATACATATACTAACAATGTATAGATAGAGGATATACTTTATATACTTTATGTATACTGTACATTTATGTGGCATATTTACACATACAAACATTGGACATAGTCAGACAGAGAATTTATATCCATATATACATATAAACTCCAGAACAGCTATTGTTCTTTGTCGTCACACACTCTGACTTCAGCGCGGTCGTGTTTACCGTCTCTGCTTTTCTTTAACAACTCTCAGGAAGCGTCCAGGAGCTCAGGACACTTCTTCTTGCCTGATAGACGACTTCAGGTGCTCAACAGTCCGGGGTCGTCATCGTCGCCGTTGTAATTTGTCATTTCATAATGATGTCGCGCGTTTTCATTGGGAGACGGGTCTGGATGCAGGAAGTCCGGTCTAGTACCTGCAGAAAAGGTGTTGTCCGGATGGCTGCGTATGTTGCTCCAAAACCTGTTTGTACCTTAATGGTGTCTTCACAGATGTGCGAGTTACCGTCGTGTGGGGTTTTAATGCAGCGCCGCCTAAAGGGTCAAAGGTCACGGCCGTTCAGTGTTGCCCCTGACATGAAGAGACTCTCTCAATCTTGTATGGTATTACTGATTTCACACGATGAAATCCCTCAATTATTTGCAAGTGTGCATTCACAGGCATACAGCACATATGTTCAAATATATGGAACATATTGTGCAGAAAGAATTTATTTAAAAAAAAAGAAAATATATACAAATAAACTGTATTTATGGACAGAAATATGCTAAAATTGACATTTTAAAGGCTAAACATGCAAATAATTTACATGAAGAAGTGTACATGTGGACAAACACTTATTAACATGTATATATATACACACATAATTTATAGGTATAAAATATATGTGGAAACATTGTGCATATGCAAAGGCTATACCTAAGAAATGCACTGATATTTACATTTTACAGTTTCATGTGTAAAAATCTGTATAAGACACTTTTTTAAAATAAAGAAAATAAACCTGTGAACACATTGTACATATAAAATTAATCAGAGAGGTGGTACACATTGTGCATGTAGAATATACTTATTATTTTTTAATTGTAGTAATATTCACATTTTACTGAAGAAAAAAAAAGAAGATTTCCATGAAGCAAAAAGAAAAACCTCTTAACTTTAAAAACCTGACGCATGTTGTAAAACTCCACTGATCAGTGTCAATATCTATCGACTATTGGTTTTGGCTGCTGAGGATCAAATAGTGAAATAAGATCCTCAGTAATAACTGAGTTGGAGAACATGAAGTGTGCAAACTGCTGCGTCTCTGTGTCTCTGTGGGTGTTGAACCTGCCTGTGTTTGGTATTCCGTGCAGAAAGCCTCCCACGCCCCGTGTGTCCGCCCACGCGCGGATTTGCGTCACGCAGGGAGCAGCGTGGGCGAGAGAGAGAGAGAGAGAGAGAGAGAGAGAGAGAGAGAGAGAGAGAGAGAGGCTCTGTGGCAACCGCGCGGAATATCCCACTTTATTCTGCTGCCGCGTCAAGCTGCGCGCGGTGAGGACGTGGCAGACCGGAAGCGTTGACAAAATAAAAACATCTGACCCAGAATCTGAGGAGCTACTTTCAAACAAAGGTAATTATGATAATAAATACTAAATAAATAAACGTGCACCTCATGTACTTGTGTTGAGAATATATTACAGTTTCATATATAAGGAGAAAGGTGTTTAGAGAGTGTGTGAATAATTCTTTGCAGTAGTCGAATTGAAACAGACATCTTTATTTTCTTAAGTGGAAGAATTCAGAAAAATAATTCCCATTTTAGATTTGAAGGATTATATATTAGTTAGTTATACAAATAATAAACAAGCAGATTAAGAGCCTTTACAAACCAAATGCAGCGATAGCACTTTTGAAATTACATGATCGTATTCTGGGTCAAACCATGATAATCAAAACAGTGTATTGATTAACCAAAAATGGATTTAAGCTGAGCTGCAGCTCTTCAGACGGATCACATGATGCTTGACTGATTCCACCTCAAGCTACTTTCTACTCAGCTACTGCAACACGTGATGAATTTAAAAATTAATCTTATTAAAGATTGAAATGTCTATAAAAAGTAGAACTTGCTCTCCCTCAGTAGTCCCCCAGTAATTATAATAATCCAGTGATATAATATAACAATATTCTGCAGAAATGAGCTGTTTTACTTTGAAGTAATTTTGCCAATAATACTTTTACATCTGTGAAATTAAGAATGCAGTAATTCCACTTTTAATGGAGTTTTGTACCAAACAATATCAGAATTTTCTTCCTCCGCTGTTGATTTCTGATATATTTTTATTTTCTTGTGATTTTTGAAAGTCAGTTTGAATCTTTATCTTTCCACCTGCTACATAAACAGTAATATCTTTATATCTACATTATATTTTATTTTGCATTTTAAACGTGAGACATTGAAACAAGTGTTTTGGATCCAGTCCGACCAAAGAGAAAGAAAATGTTGTGGTTTATTTGGAATCTAAAATAAACTAATATTGTATATTGTTTGTGCTATTTTCACAATAAAAGTGCACAATTGATTATTGAAGTACATTATTTAAATTTTGGATGAAATGCCAGAACACTTGAATTCAGCCTCTTCTTCTCCGTTTCCCCAGTGCTTTTATTTTGTTACCGCAGGCGGAAGTGTGTGTGACTGCGTGTGTGTGTGTGCGCGCGCTTGTTGACGGTGGTGAATAGTGCAGGGGAGTGCAGAGACACTGGGAGAGGACTAAAACACTCACACACACTCACACACGCACAGACACGCACTCGGCACACACGCCACACGCACTCGGAGGAGAAAGACGCACGAAGGTCAGCGGCTCTTCACTGACTCTCTGCGCTGGTTTCTGTCTTTTCTCTCAGCGGCAGCAGAAAGAAAAAGTTTCCGGAGAGAGAGGAGAGAGGAGCGGAGTGTCGCTCTCTGGGAAATAATCCTTCAGTTTCTTCACTTGATTTCACATTTTGAATTTTACGCGCCTCGCTCTCGCTGTGGGATCTCTTCTTTTCGGGCTTTCTTCTTCTTCTTCCTTTTTTTTTTTTTCCTTTTTTTTTTTTTTTTTGCTGCACAAATTGACACGCAGGGTTTGTGTTGATAAACAGCGAGGAAGAGGAAGACGAAGCAGAAGGAGGAGAAAGAGAAGAAGAGGAACCAGACCAGGGCGGACCGAAGGGGGCCAGAAACTCACCAGGTAGGCTCCATTAGACACGGATTTAATGCTGCACGTTACCTGCTGCTGCTGCTGCTGCTTTTACCCTCCGCACAGGCTCGTTTCTGCAGATATCTCCAGCTAACACAGGAACACCACAGGAAACGATTTCAAATAACACTGAGGAGCATTTAAACTCCCCGTTTAGGCGCTAAAACTCCCCGTGGGAACATCGCAGCCAGAGAAAAACTATCACCTACACACACAGTAAGGATCTGTCTGAACTGTATGGATTTATTATAAGAGATGAAAATATTAGAGGCACTTAAAGATGGCTCAAAGATACTATAGAAATACTACGAGACGTGCACAATAACAGTCACTGCTGTGCATGGTAAATGTACATTATATGAATATTATAGGTGTTAAATGCAATAAAAGGAGACAGTGACATTGTTAACTTGCTCCTGAGCTGCACAGACAGAATATAAGAGATAAAAAAAATACCTTACAACACAACTATAGTCAGTCCTGTGCATGATAAGTGAATATTATATGAGTATTAGAGGTGTGGAGGGCGACGGTGTGATTGGAAACTTGCTCCTGAGCAGCACACACAGAGTATAAGTCTCCATTCGAAGCTATTAGAGATTTTAAAAGAAATACCTTAAAGGAAAATTACAAGGAGACAGAAACAGCTCAGACCTCTTTACTGAGGCTGTAAGTGTCTGAAAGCACAAGTACTGTCCCTGCTGGGCATCAGACATGTGTATTATATGAATATTAGAGGTGTGAAGGGAGACAGTGTCATCGTAAACTCACCACAGAGAAGTTTCTATAGGAACATTACAAGAATTGTCACATGATTTTTCACTTGTGTGTGTGTGTCGCTTGCTGCTCGTTTCTTTAGCTGCTGTAAATTTATTTTCACTCCATAATTGTACTAAATGTGATGTTTAAAGACTTCTGAGGACTGTGGACACATCACACACACACTCACACACACTCACACACACTCACTCACATAAGGATAAGGTCATAGTGATGATTACAACAACATGGTTCTGCATTGAGAAACTGGAAAATTCCTCTTGAATCAGAGTGAAATCAAAGTGTTCCTCAGGTTTCTGAGGAAGGGCACAGATAACCACGGTCTGCTGCGTGGCATTTCACCTGGAAAACTACACACCAGCCTTTAGATTTCACTCTGTGTGTGTGTGTGTGTGTGTGTGTGTGTGTGTGGTGCCATTGTGCAAGTGCACGCCTTACTTCTCCAGGTCAAAAGCTGAACTCGCTAAACTCGCTTTGTAAAGCAGGACTTCAATTAGAGCCTGCCATTCACTGCCGCCTATTACACCCCGGTCACACACACACACACACACACACACACACACACACACACACACACACGTCTGCTGTGTTAAAACTGGGGTAAGATGGCTGGGCGTTAGATATCAGTGAGAGTGTTAATGAAGACAGAAACAGTGAGGTGCTTTTAAAGCTGCAGGATTATTTTGCTGCTCAGGTACAACTTACCTGTTACACAGAGTCAGATTGAATCCTCTACAAGTGGAGGAATAGTTACTGTAAGGATGAACTGATCAGAATAGTTACTGGTTAATCAACTAATTGCTTGAATTTAAATATCGCCAGGTGAACACACGGATCTTTCAGATTCTCTCTGTAGAAAGTCTTGAACCGAATCAGTGTCGGTTTTGTTAGATAGTCGGATAAAATCTTAGAGCGTCGCTCAGATCGTCCAACAGCCTCTGAAACCTCCTCCTCTCGCACCTTTTCTCATGTGAGGAGGCTGTTTTTTCCGACCTCGGAGGATCGCACCGGGACCTCGTTCCCTGAACGCCTCTCGAGGCTGAAGCGTTCGTGAAATCGATCTGACAAACCTGAGGTTGTGGTGATAGAGATCTTTCCTTAAATGCTGGAAACGATCGTAGATGAACAAGTGACTCCCACACAGTCGTCTGAAGACGCTGCAGAAACCTGCAGGCGGGAATAAAAACTACAAGTTTTCATTTTTAACTTTATACTTTTATCACAAGCGTTAATCTTTTTGCACTTTTCACCTCCTCGCCTGATATGTCTCTTTCCAGGCTCCGTATCTTATCATGTCCGTTTGTTCACAGTGCGCTCAGTGTGTTTTCCGCCACGTGTTTAATTAAATGCAGCAGGTCTGATCCAGAAATGATGACAGGAGGACTTTCACAACAGATGACGTGTGTGTTCATAGGAAGCATCACGGCTTTATTTCAGGTCTGCTGAGAGTGTGAGAGTAAACATCTTTCATCAATACAAGTTTACTGCATGAAACACGCAGCAGCAGCAGCAGCAGCAGCAGCAGCATGAGTGGCTCTGAAGAACTTCTTGGGAAAGACGTGTAGAAATCTAGAGTGTTATCTGGAAACAGAGCGTCTCACCTCAAACTACCTCAGTGACTGTGTGTGTGTTCGTATCCGCTCTCGGTGATGGCTGACCTTCCAACCTCCTCTGAGCGTGGACCTTTTTGTCTTCAGACGTCGCCACTTTGGACAAACTCGATCAACAGCTGGACTCCAGATCCAGGATTTAATTTGGACCCGGCGTTTGTGTTTGTTGTATTGTTGAGTTTTGCGTATTTTTTTTTTAAAAGAGAAGACAAGTTCAGGCTGTGGATGCTGAGGTATGTGGCTTCGGTTCGTGTTATACAATCAAACATTAAATAACATGAACGTGGTCGCCGGTCTTCCCCGGGGTCCACAGGCGTATGTCCCCTCAGCATGGGAGCAGTCAGACAAAAGGGCAGCAGGTGAAGCTGTCACATCCGGTTACCTGCAGAACAGCTGTGAAATCAGTGCATTTTAAAAAGCTCAGCAGCACGAGCATTAATACGGTGTCACTGAAGACTTCCCAGGCGTAAACCACAAGCGCAGACTCTTTCTCGTTCGTCCGCAGCGTGGCCTCCGTCATGTATAGACGCCATTGTTGTATTTATGAGTCCAGTGTTTTCTTCTCGTCCAGTCGCTCTCTGATTGGTCGGTTTGTTGAACCCTGAGTGAATGTTATAAATGGCGCAGTTGCTGCTGTAGTTTAATGTGGCTGCACATGATTCACAGGGTAAATCATGATAGGTGTTGTTGTGTGTGTGTGTGTGTGTGTGTGTGTAACTCCAACTGGGAAAGAGATGAGTGAAAATGTTCTCAGGAGATGTTGATTGATGTGTGATAAACTGGAGTTCATCATTTCTTCTTCTTCCCCAGTGCCATGAGTTGAGTCTGAAATGAGTATGAATGGTCACTTCCTTTGAGTCGGGGCGTTCTGGTGCATGTGATGAACTTGATGAACTTCCTCTGTTGTAAGACAGTGACTTTGCTGTGTCAGCCCCCCCCCCCCCCAACACTGAGATGTTCTTAAACTACACATACATCTTCTTATTCAGCTTCAAATAAAACACAGAAGAAGAAAATATGGAGCTTTAAATATTCCGTTTATATGTCTTGCCTGGATGTGATGTTGCGGCGTACGTGTTTCGTTGGTGTTTGTCTGACTGTATTTACACATATCCTCCCAACCTCCCTCTCCACACAGAATATAACCTCGGTTTCTATTTCAGAAACACATTTGGTTGATTGGGAGAATTTCTATCACCTCACTGAATAGTTTGTAGCTGAAAAAAAGAAGCAGCAAGAAAAAGATTGTGTAAGATAAAAGCTAAAAACGAGAATGTTTTAAGTCGCTGTGTTTCCTCTGCTCGACTTTATGCAGATGGAACGAGTGTTTTTGGATATTTTAGATATGAACAACGATCCGATCGAGTGGAAAACACCAACTAAAGGATTGTTGTTTAACTTTGAGTAGATAGTCGTTGATCAACCCAGGTGTGCATGGAGTTTTGATGGAGACAGATGAAAGAAGCTGGTGCGGAGGTGACCTTTGCCTCACTGATGTGTCACACTGACCTCCATTTGGAGACGAAGCCGCCGCCTCGTCTGTGTCATCGCTTTGACCCAGAGCTTCGCTAAATGGATCTACAGGCAGCTGACTTTTAGCCGCTGGTCTGCTTTGTGGAGATTTCAGCGTAAACATAAAGACAGGTCATGAATCAGCAGCAGCAGGAGCAGCCGTCGTAGCAGCAGTGTTAGAAACTAAAGGTGTTGAATCACTTCTGTCTTCTCTCGCTGTCGTTTTCCCGACTCACTCAGGCTGAGTCGAGGCCTGCCTGGCTCCCTGGGCTGAGGCTCTCTGGGCCTATTCTGGGCGAGGCGAGCCCACCACCTACACATCCTGCAGGGGTGGAGAGAGGCATGTGGTCCTCCCAGCAACCCGGGCCTGCTGACTGCCACTCCTCTGTTAGCTGGGCTTCCGCAGGGCCTCACATGCACATAGGAACAGTCAGGAACAAGCCTCTCTCAGATCTCCACTGTTGCTCTCTCTCTCAGTTTAAGGTGGCGAGTGACAAGAGTTTGGCACAGATCTGAATGTTTCTCTGCTTTTGAGATTGTAGGCAGAGTGAGCGACGCCGTCGCTTTCGAAGATAAATACCGAAGTGACGGGCTGTCGGGGAAGCAAACAGCCGCACATCCCAGCCAGAAAAACTTTATTCACACTCTTCTGCAAACGTGGAATCTCATACCTGTAGAAACAAAGTGACGGCGGGTCGATTAAAAATACAGTTTTATCACAGAGTGCGTTCAAGCAGAACAAGACATTAAAGCACTGCGAGGAAAGTCTTTCCTCAGTTGTAGATCAACGCTCTTCAAGTGTGAGATCGACTGAATTAGTGCTGTAAGAGGCAGTTTTGTAGTTTTTAATTCATGCATCTGCAGAGTCTCATTCTCTGTGTTTATTCCACACCTGAACAGGCGTAGATTAACCAAACAGGAGAAAAAGCAAAAGACCTGAACGTCCTACAGGAGCCAGTCGAGCTAAAAACGCTCAGCACTCGTGGCGAAAAGTCAAATTTAACCTTTTACACGCACCTGTCGAGGCCTGATAACCTGAAACCCTGCACCTGCCAGGAAGAGTGTGCACAGTACAAATATAATTCATGTATGATTTTCTTTTTTTTTGTAGAAACGTGTCTCCTTCAGTTTCCAGTGATAATTCCATAAATCAGCTGTAACTAACCAAGAGAGCAGGTTCACATTTGTCATTTTAAATTATACCTTTTTTTTTTTTTTTGGCAGCTAATTAACAAATACCAGGCAAAACTTAGACGTCTTGTGACTGTGACATCTTTACTTTTCAGGTTCAGTCAGTTTCTGTGTGTTATCTCTGTGATAAACTGTGATAACTTCTGAAGAAGTCACATGATGGTGTCAGCCAGAGCGGAGCGTTGCTCAGCAGACAGCAAATGACTTATCTGACATTTCAACCTCGGACACATGATTTAGAGATTTTAAAGAGCAAACACATATTACAGTCAGGGACACTTCACAGCCAGTGTTGGGTTAGCTTAGCTTAGCATAAAGACTGGAAACAGGCGGAAACAGTTAGCATGGCTCAGTCTGAAGGTAACGAAATCCAGATAGAGTGAGAACAAGAAAGTAAATCAGCTCATTTCCCAAGTGTCTGTTTTTACTCACATCTCATTACCGTGTGTGTGTGTGTGTGTGTGTGTGTGTGTGTGTGTGTGTGTGTGTGTGCCTCCTCAGGTATGGCGGCGGTGTTGCCGAGAACCCTGGGTGAGCTGCAGCTCTACAGGATCCTGCAGCGAGCAAACCTGCTCTACTACTACGAGGCGTTCATCCAGCAGGGCGGCGACGACGTGCAGCAGCTGTGCGAGGCCGGCGAGGAGGAGTTCCTGGAGATCATGGCCCTCGTCGGCATGGCCAGCAAGCCGCTGCACGTGCGCCGCCTGCAGAAGGCGCTGCGCGACTGGGTCACCAACCCGGCCATCTTCAACCAGCCGCTCACCTCGCTGCCCGTCTGCAGCATCCCCGTCTACAAGCTGCCCGAGGGCTCGCCCACGCTGCTCAGCGCTCAGGACCGAGCCAACACCGCCAGCGTCAAGATGCCCAAGGCCGTCGCAGCCGCCTGCTCAGATCCAGGGAAGCTGGACGTGGCGCGGGACAAAGTGTCGGCCGGGTCGCCCCTGCAGGGCGGCAGCGAGGCGCGGTTCTGGTCGGGCCACAGCAACGACAGCGAGCACAGCCTGTCCCCGTCAGACCTCGGCTCCCCGTCCTCACCCAGAGACGCTCTGGAGGCTCTGGATGCTGCGGCTGTCCAGTCCGTCCTGGAGTGCGTGGACCGGATGGCGCCTGGACTCCCTAAGACAGATCTGACCGAGGTCAAAGAGCAGCTGAAGAACAACAAAAAGCTCGCCAAGATGATCGGACACATCTTCGAAATGAGCGACGATGACCCGCGGAGGGAGGAGGAGATCCGTAAATACAGCGCCATCTACGGACGCTTTGACTCCAAGAGGAGGGACGGCAAACACCTGACTCTGCACGAGGTTGATGAATATCCGTGTGTCCTCTGGATCCTTGAGCTTTATGTGTCTGTGTTTCTCCTGAACTAACCTGACTCATGTGTGTGGTGTGTGTGCAGCTGACGGTGAACGAGGCGGCGGCTCAGCTCTGTATGAGGGACATGGCTCTGCTGACACGTCGGGACGAGCTGTTCGGACTCGCCCGGCAGATTTCCAGAGAGGTCACCTACAAATACACCTACCGCACCAGCAAGTAAGAGCTCCGTCTGCCTTCCTCTGCAGACCCCGCTCAACGTGTTGCAGTAGCTGTTGTGTGTGTGAAGGGAATGAAGTTCATCTCCTGCTGTTTCTCTGCAGGTCTCGCTGTGGAGACAGAGACGAGCCGTCCCCCAAAAGGATAAAAACAGAGGTGAGGTTCCAGATGTGCAGCGGTGACGTTCAGCACGTGAGAGAACGTGCAGGTGGATAATGGAAACAGGTCTCACGGTGGGAGTGATGTGGCTCTACACCTCGGCCTGGTCCGTTCTCGTAGCGCTGAATCCGTCACGTTTAACACGGTCGGAAACTCACAACGATCCAAACTCTTTTCCTAAATCACCAAACTGCTTTACGGCAAATCCCCTGTCGTAAAAAAAAAAAACTACGACCGTATAACTGCACACTTTACGACAAATAATAGAACGAGACGTGTAACCTGAGCGTAATGCAGCATTCACCCTACACATTGACTATGATACAGACTCTAATAAATGTGGAATCTAAAGAGCATCAGTCTCTAGTTGTGGCTCTTTCACTCAGTCAAGTGTTTAACAGCGGACAGAGTACAAAGCGAATCTCCTGACGCTCTCTCGGGCTGAGAGTTGTCTTGGAGCTCTGAATGGTTCCTCTCAGTTTGTGAGGCGATGATGATGGGAAACATGTGGCGGCTGCGAACTGCGCAGGAAGAGCTGCAGATGAACCGACACCTGCTCAACGACACGACTCTGAGCTCCTGAAGGGAGTTTCCTCCAGAAACCATCAAAGGAAATTCATTATACATACGTCCCTTATCTCACATTGTTGTTTTATGAAGCTAAAATATAGGGAGGGGAAGAGACAACCAATAGGTAATAGGAATTATCTCAACTATAATAAGGATTATTTTTAGACAGACAGACAGAAAGTTAACTCCTCCTGTGGTCGTTTAACCGTTTCCACACCAGCTCTGAAGACATGTCCTACTTCATCTTAAGTGTGAAATAATAAGCGTCTCTGACCCTCTGTCTTCTCGACGCCTTCAGGAGAACTTCTTCGACATCCAGGAGGCGCTGCAGGCCATCCACATGAGGCAGGAGATGCTGAGGGAGCAGCTGGCCTGCGCCAAGTTGAAAGGAGAGGAAACGGTCGGGCGAAATCTGCAGGTGAGCAGACGAGTGCAGTAGAAAACTGCTGCTGTTTTAAAGTGAGAGTCTCTGGTTCCTCTCAGTGTTTGAAGGTCATCCAGGACGCATGTCCGTCCTCTGGAACAAGGTGCTGCTGATATCTGCCGGTCTGAGCTGCGACGGACACGTAACTGACGAATAGACAGATCAATAAATGTGCAAGAAATAAACAAACTACAAAGATAAAAGTGAAAAACAAACGTCCCTCAGATTTTCTTAAAGCAAAGAGAGGAGAGACGTAATCAAAGCTTTTTATTTCATGGTCACATTAGTTCAGACACGGACCAGTTTCCACCTCTCGGGGTCGTCATCAGGGAGGAAAGTGTAAAGAGATAATTGACACCTGCTTCTCCTCAGAGACGACACACCGGAAATATCAACATGACAAAACATGAGGACATTTTGCAAATGTTTTAAAGGGTCCCTGCTGGTTAAAGGGCTCATCAAGACAGTTTTAATCTCCACAGAAATGTGTATTACTCCACTGCTGAAGATAGTCCCCAACAAATGTGCTATTTCTCCTGTTTGATAAAAACTACAGTGAGCAGCAGTTTGAGGGAATTACTGAAGGTTGTTTTTGACAATAACAACAAACACAGACTATTGTCATCTTTATCAATAAGTGCAGTTGTTCATACGAAGTGCTGCAGTGTAAAGAAATCCTCGAAGACAAAACCAATCCTCGGATATGCACCAAAAAACATGTTTCATGTTTCTTTCACCAAATTTCACTGAAATTTTGTACGTTTTTAAGAAATCCTACAAAATGTAACGTTCTCAAACAGCCATGTTATATTTTTAGGGTTGTTTTCCACAAATTATTTTAGTTTTGCTTGACAGGATTTAAAAATGGAGCTCAGCAGATAGACTTTGCTCATTTCTCACTCATTTTTTAGCTTCTTTTTAGCATCAAATGTCATTGTTTTAATGTAATTTTAATATTTTAACACAGAAATATGAAAATCAAAGGTGAACACAGTGTTTCTGTGATGCTCAAACACCTCAGCTGTCGGGTGGACAGGGTCCTCAGCAGCAGATATATATGGCGACAGATGTCCGCATCAGCAGATGTTTGTGGCAGCAGGATCCAGTTTGATCCCAGTAATGGTCGTTATTGGTTTCCATGCTGCCGCTCTGGCTTGTTCCTAATTAGAGCCGGAGTGTAGGAGGAGAGCTTTATGATAACTCATTACCCAGAAAACACATCCATGTGAGCTGTGTGCGTGTTTCACGTCTCCATGCGTGTTGAACATGTGTCCTGTCTCATGTATTGTCTGCGTGTGTTTGTGCGGCTGCAGTTCCACTTGTCATTTTGATGTGATTTCCAGAAATCGCATTCAGAGGGAGAAGAGATTTCATGGCTGCATTCACACCGCCGGCCTTCTGAACATCCCATAATAATTTAAAGTGACAGTGACGTGCAGACTGACAATAACCTCACATCACTGCTGGTTTCAGCTGCTGTTTGGATGAAACCGAGGTGTCAGCTGTTTGTCACTCGTCCTCCGTGTTAATGCTCGCTGACTGCCTGGATCAGATTATTACAGTCATTTCCAATAATACATTTAGTCTCAAGTGCAGTTGTGGCTGTAACAGCTGTCGTTATAGTGACGGATGTAGTCGCACTTTCTCAAAATAACAGTTACAAGAGCTTTGCATTTATATCGGTACATTAATATATATTCATAAAGTTATAAATAAAAGTAATAATAAAAGAGTTAACATGAATTAAAATAGGGTGGGGCAACATGATGTAGAATTATAACTCATAATAATAATAATGATAATAAATACAGTGTTTCTAGGTAGATGTTTCTTATTTTTTCTATTTTTGTCTCCTAAGTTTAAAATCTTTTTCCATTTTTATTTAGACAGTAATTATTATTTCTAATAATTAGAATTAAAGTAAAGTTTACAGTTTAAAACGTACTGTGATTGACAGTATATTTACTTGATGATATAATGATAAAGTTCACAGTTCATGGGGAACACATATTTTTAGCGGTAACTCCCGTTCAATTTAATCCTACTGATCAATAATTACATTTGCTGTCATGTAAGATCAGTGGGTGAATGTCAAACCATTTAAAGCTGAAATAAATCGTGAGTGCAGATCATTATGTCTTTTGTTTTCTAACATGATGTCGACCTCTTCCTCGCCAAAGTATCTGTCTCTCATCAGCAGCCGTCTCTCTGCTCATTAACATCCTGTTTACTGTCACTCCACCTCATTTCAAATGGATGTGAAGTGAAACTAACAGCCTGCAGTTGACCGACGTCACTCGCAATCATGACATCACAGAGCTCAGCCGATGATTCTGACTTCAGTTTGTCCGTGTATCCGTCAGATGCAGCTGGAGCGTCTGCTGGCGAGGCAGATGGAGATCCTGCAGGACGCCGCCGTTCAGGAGCGACTCCAGGCTCTGGACTGGAGGATCCCCCCCGCCGCTTTAAAGTACCTCAACGACGCCCAGAACACTAACGGAGCCGCCGCCGACGCCAGCAGAGACAACCAAGGTGAGAAACAAGCCCAGAGACCCGAGAATCTGAATCTTCCAAACACAACGACTCCGTCAAATCTAAATTTAAACATCTCTTAATGTTTTAGAAGATCATTTCATCTCAAAATATGTTCAAACTTTATTTATATTTTCATTTATTATTTCGACCCACTTGCAATACCTCCGCAGCCGTGTGGATGTAAACGTCCTTAGCTTAGCTCAACAGCTACTTAGCACCTGTAGCTTCAACAAGGCAGAAACAGAAAAGACAAAGCAGGTGTGAAGCTTCACAGAGATCTGACACTCTTAGTTAGACGTGGTCTTCAACCTCTACGTGAATCATAAAGACATCTCACCTTTTGTGTTTTTTTTTAAATGCTGCTTTGCAAAGTCGTGGTTGGCTCACTGCTGCCTCCTGTGTCCAATCAGGGGAAGACACCCAGCTGCATGTACAGTCTGCAGCCAAGTAGTTGCCCTCGATTGGTCTTTATACTGAATCTGAGGCTAATTTGACTTGATCTGTTTTGGAGAGTTAATTTGAAGAGATTTATTTCATGTCATAAATGCCACAGGATGTGTACGATGTGTCTGTGGAGGGAAGCAACACCTATAGGTGCAGGCTTTCCACACCCAGCCCTGGCAGCTGTCACTTTTTTTTTTTTCATTTCCATTTTTTCATCTCCACCTCTCAAACACCGAGGGGGGTATGGAGGAGAAGAGAGAGAAAAATCAAGACACATCATTATTCAGGATCTTACTTCTCCTCCAGGCCTCATCTCATTTTCATCCTTTGCCTCCCTCACCCACTCCCGACAGCTCATTATAACGCTGTTCCCACAAATGCCACAATGCACCTGTAATTATCACGCCCACGCCTGTTTACCTCCAGCCAGTTGCCCAGAGGGGGGCGTCTCTCTCTCTCTACCTCTCGCTCTCTCTCTCTCTCTCTCCTCCCCCTCTTCTTCTTCTCTGCTTTCCTTCCTCTTGTCCCCTTTTCTCTGTCATTTGTCATTTCTTCTTATTCACGTCTGCTGTTGGTCCAAACTTCTCTCCTTCCACACACTAGTTTATTTCCTTTCACTGCCTCTACGTCTTTCTTAACCCTTATTCATCCCTTTCTCTCTTTCTCCTCTTTTATAGTCTCTTTAAAATCAAACTCTGCGTGAGTCGGCCTCATCGAAAAGTCCTCACACCTGTTTGCAGTTGTGAATTAACGACACATTCTGGGTGAAAATTGCTCCTGTACAATACGTTTAAACATACTGTCACAATCAACCAATCAATCGAATGACAGAAAGTTATTGGCAACTACTTTGAAAGTCGTTTTTGTAGATGCCACTTGGAGCTGTGGGAAATTATAACAGGCTTTTATTTTGTTATTTTCTGACATGTTATCAATTAGATTAGTAGGTAATGAGAATAATCGTTGGTCCAACACATACGACTTTAAACTGAATTTATTTGGATTTTGGACAGTTGAATAAAACAAGCAATTACAGCAACTTAAGATGGGTGGATATTATAACTTGTATTTTCCACTGCCGCATTTCATAGTCAAAACAATTAATCTGGACTAATAAAATCCACAGAAACAGCTAGAAAATGTGAATATGAAGCATCGTATTCTGTTTGCCTTTGACCCTGGGTCATAGGAAAACAAAAAGTATGATGACAGACAATGAAATAAGAATGTACAGACTCAAATGAAAGTAAAAGTAAAAGATGCTGATGAGTAGAGGAACCAGGATAAGACTGAACATAATACTCAGGAACAACCTGTGAAATGCAGATTAACTGTGTGTCAGTATTAAGCAAAGAGGAGTCTAGTGGTTCAGAAAATACAGTTAAATCTTCTCTCTCTCTGTTTCTTTCTTTCTCTCCAAAGGAATAAAAGGCAAACACGAGGGATCAGCAGCTTAACTCGCACTGACACACATGCTTTGTAACCACTGGGAATATTGAACATGTAAAACAAAGACGAACATCTGGGCTGATGTTTGCTTTTTTCCCAGCTGGATTTGCTCTAGTCCATGGCAGTTTGATTTCATATTTATTTAGCATTCAATGATTTATATGACAGGACAGGAAGAGCTGAAGGGATTTTATTATATATATATCTATAATGTATAATATTTGACAGGCTTTCTCGATTTTTATAGTAAGTATTTACAAATCAAGTTTAACAAAGAAAAACAGAAAAAATGTGGAAGTTTTTAATTTTCTTCTTGGTGTTTCAACCACATTTCAACAAATTCAACAAATATTTCGATGTTTTTGAGCGACAGATCATAAACAAAGGAATCAAATCAAAACAACAACGATTTTGTTCCCTGTTTTCCAGACGAACGTCCGATCAACTTGCGGGTGGTTAGTCAAAGCATGCAGGAAGGCGACCTCCCATTGGGCAAGCAGCTAGCCAATGAACTGAAGCGTCATCACAATAGCAACCACAACAACAACAACAACAACAACAACACAGACGAGACCAAAACACCAGCAACAGGTCAGTGATCAAGGACAAGACAATCTACTGCACTGAATTAGTTCTACGGTTACGACTTTGTAGGTTTGTTCAAAGGCTTTATTTTGAATTATAAACCTCTTTGCTGATGATACCGTGTTTTATCTTTGTCTTCAGAAAACGGGACGTCGCAGCGGGCGACCAGCAACGCAGAGAAGAAGATCATCAAGTCAGAGCCCGAAGACTCCACATAGTGCCTCCCCCCCTCCCCCCCCCATTCATTCTACTCACACCTGACAGTATGCAGTTATTACCCGTCAATAGATACTAAGCAAGCACAGCCACAGTAGAGCCTTAACAACCAATGTTGCCTCATGAATAGCATTTTTTTTTTTTTAATTTTGTCTTTTTGTTTTTGTTTTGTTTAGTTTTTTTTTTTTGTATTTGGTTTAAAAGGTATTTGCCAAAGCACCTAGAGAGCATGTCGAGAAGCGCCTCAGTGCTCTACAGGTCTTTGTCTGTTGGTTAATTGTACGTGTTAGATGTACATGTAATTTAAAAGAGCGATCGGTTGCAGACGTGTTTATACTCTTTACCTCCGCCTGGGTGTTTCTTTCTTTGCTTTCTTTGGACAGCCAGGTCGCAGGAGGATGTGAGTGCGGGGATGAGTCTTAACTCAAACGTAGATTCAGAGATGAGACAGAAAGCAGGAATGTTGGCCTTGTTGCTGACACTTGATATGACTACCACACAGCCAAATGTTTTAAAGTCTCTTTCACTGGTTTATATTTCAAACCCGAAGCTGCAGGTGCTGCAAGTATTCAATCTGTCAATCTGAAATTTTTAAATCCCAGAATATTTCAAGCGTCTGTTTCTTCTTCAGACTTTTAGCAGAACTAGCGGCAGCGCTCTGGGGATTGCACTTTGTTCCAGACTGAAATATATTGATAAATATTGGATGAATTGCATTTAGATTTAACGCAGACATCCATGGTCAAATGTATATTACCCTAATATTAATAGCACATTTTTAAGGCGTTTGTAATGAATTTTTAATACACTCGTGCTCCATTTACAACCATTTTTATGAGAACACAAAGTGCTAATTGATGCTTTCAGTTGTACATACGAGCATATATGAACATTTATTGCCATAAATATAAAAGTCACACACACATATTAATGGTAGTCATACAAAGTGTTAGCTAATCTTGAGAAATGTAATTGCCTGTATGTTTCCGAAA